ATTTAAGCTAGTGTAAATCAATTTTCAGATATTGCAGAACTCTGGAGAACATGCACAACCAGGACGCCAGCACAGAGCTGAGCCATGTGGCTGAAGCTCTAGCATCAAAGCAGCATGCTGTATTCCACTGTGATGGTTAAGTGAAAGCTTGTCGGTGCCTTCCAAAGATTATGCACGAGGGCTAGGGAGAGAGGAGTGACCTTCCCTTCAATTCAGCAAATATTGGTTGGGTTATGCTGTGTGTACAAATCTGTGCTGGTGCTTGGGACCCAAAGATGACCAGCACCCCATGGTCTCTGATCTCAATGGCCTTGTGGTCCAACAAGGACGTGAATACGCAAACCAGGATTGACCTTACCAGCGACGTAAGGGTGAGGGAAACCTAGGGAAAGAAGAGCTGATGCTACCTGGTGAAGCCTGCCAGAGGAGGGAGCACTGGAGCTGAGGTTCCAGCTAGGGTTTACCCTGAAGACAAATATGGAAGAATTTCTTGGGGAACCAATAAGAATTTTTGAACTAAATAACAATCATAATCATCTTAGGTACCACATATTTAGTCAAATTCAAGATCCATATTAGTCATCATTTTTTTTCATTTAAATGACCTTATCTTCTAGATGTCTGAATGACTTCCCCAATTTGAAGACATTGCTCCCAAATGAGATTCAGTTAATTAAAGGCAAGACAGTGGCCCCCATGATGCCTCAAACAAAGAAGAACACCTAACAGGCATTCAGTAAGCCATGCTGAACTGAAGGTACACCCCACAGAAGGCTCAGCACCTCCTTCCTTCTACGTAGCTTGAATGGAAAAACTACATTCATCTCTTGGCTTGTTTCCTTTGGCAAAGAGAATTATAACATGTGTTATTCTATTTATGAAAAATCAGTACTCTAGAAAAGCATGCTATTTGTGTTGGCAATACAAGTAAAGGTGTACTGGTTGCCACCAAAAAAAATGCCCAGGCCATGAAATATATACCCATCAACTTTCAATTAAATAAACTGGACCCTTTATCAGTAGAAACAGAATACTGTGGTCAGCTAGAAAATAGCCCGGTAGGAAATATTACCCTATTTTATTTGGTGGGACACTGGACTTTGCATTAGGGTGTTTGAGATTCTGATAAGTGGCTGGAGTGGGGTTCTTCCTTTTAAATTTCATTAAACAGTATTTCCTTGTGACAAAAGTCAAAGGTTTGATCTCAACAATTAGGAAGTGAGCTTCTCTTTCACCGTGCTGAGGAAAAAAAATACTTCAGCTGAGATAAGACCAGCAGGAAACGCCATCTTGAATAGCAGTTGAAAAACATCTCCCTCCCAAAGAACGTTCTAACCTCTCGACACACTGAACATGGCATAGTCCTAGTGGGAACTAATGAGGACTCATCTTCCTTTTTCGAGGGGAAGCAAGTAGGACTCTCATGCTCATTCTGCCCCCTGGTGGCTGGTTTAATAAAATGCAACGGAAAAGCTACATCGTAAGCAGGAATGACTTTCTTCCTTTTTCATATGATTTCACGTAATTCTTATCTACAATTACAGTGTTCCAAAGCTGCTGTCTTCTGACCTGTAGACGTCAGATTCAGTTTTCTAATTAAATTGGCTGAAACTCTGACTTTTATTTAATTAAACATAGAATGGGTGTTTAAAAATGTCTCCACATTCAGGTTTCAGCTAGTTCAGGTGAGATGCAGATGAATTTTTTTTGATGAATGAATTAACCTGGTGGGTGAAAGCCAGCACACTATATGATCAAGCCCTTGAACTCCTCAAAGATCGGTGTATTTAGTTCATCAGACAACAAGTTCATCTTTTAGTAGATTATTGGCACACTGAGGCTAAAATTCATATGACTAAGAATAACAATAAGCCATTTGAAGAAGAATAAAGAAGCATGACTTTTTTTTTTATAAAGATATACTAACTTCATCAGTACTGGCACAAGGATAGACAAAATTCAGAAACAAATCCACATAGGCATGGAAACTTGATATAGGAGAGAAGGGTATTATAAATCAGAGTAGAAAAGATGCACTCATAATAAATGCTACCGGGAGAATTGGTTACTCTTCTGTGCAAAATAAATTTAGATCACACCTCAAACTAAAGAAAAAATAATACATTTCAGACGTAATATATGTCTAAGTGTGAAAAAAAATAAAGTTTAGGAAAAAAATATAGGAGACTGTACGTGATATACAAAACTACCTAGCCATAAAAAAGCCAAAAGCAAAAATAGATGCATACAATTATACTGCATAAAACTTTTGTAAAAGTCACCTTAAAGTTAACAGAGAAGATTGGAAGGAAATTATCTGCAGCGCATATCACACGATCAATGAAATCTTAGTACCCAGGCTATATAAAGAATTCCTGTAAATCAATTTTTAACAGATAAATACCCAACAGGAAAAAGAAAAATACGTGAACTGGCAATTCACAGAAGAGGAAACCCAAACGACCAATAAAATACACAACCTATTAGTAATGAAGGAAATGCAGATCAAAATTTCAATGAGATGGAATTTCACCACCCAGTCTATTGGGCGTTGTTTTTAAAAGCTGGCAATACCAGATCCAGATGTAGACAAGGATGTGGAGAAGGTGTAGATTCTCTACCTTGCTGGTGGAAGTTGAAATTGGCACAATTGCTACTTAATATTTAATAAATAACTGATTAATTATAAATACCCAATTAATATCTGATTGACATTGAATAATAATTGATGAATATCTAATAAGTGTATAATTTACATGCATTAACATCTAAGTAATAGCTAATCGAGCTAGTGACACATATTCTTTACAGCCAAGCTCTTCTGGATCTAATGAATTTTTGCACACATGCACCAGGAGCTGGCAGTAATGAGACTGATAGGACATCATTGCACAATCAACTCCCCGGTACCCCAGAGGTCCCATCATGCTTGTGACAGAAGCATGGTTTGGGGATCACACAAACCTGGGGGCTCTTATGCCTTGTGACCTCCAGCAATTGTATAATCTATCTAGACCCCCGCTTCCTCAATTGTCAGTGGGGATAGTAATGTCTCTATCCTTAAAATTATTGGGGAAATGAAATGACAGATCTATACGGTTTTTTGCACATAGTAGATGCTCAATAAATGGCTGCTATTGTTTTCATTATTGTGACTACTGACACTGGGGAGCAATCATTTCTGACTAAGAAGAAATCATCTTTTCTGGTTAGGAAGACAGGTATCAAGAAAGAACGTTCAATGATATATTCTTAGGGCAGTCAGAACATTTCATTGGGAAAATAACCAGGGCTGTGTGAACAGTTTTACCACCCATTAGATGACAAACCCAAGAATCTTATCAACACCAAATTATCATCCTACTGGAGCCATTGCAGACCCCTCTCCTTGGCAGTGGAGACCAGTGGAACATGGCAACTCATCATACTTTCTCACTCATTGACAGGCTTGGTTTCTGATTATCAATAAGATACCTGCAGTAAGCTTGCGAGGCATCCCATTACTCACCATGGAAAGAAATACGACATTTACTTTGTTTCGATGCTCAATCTCTGACCTGGCCCAAGGGAAGACTAAGAATTCAAATGTACCTCCTGAAGTTCTTGGGCTGGCACCTGCCCACGGGATTGAAATTTGAAGGACGGTAGGCCAGATTCAAAGAAATAAGACTGAAGTCAGAAAAGGACTTTGCTTAAAATGGAGAATGAGGTTTCCCGTCATCGAGTACATCCCAGTTAAGATGCAGAGGCCAGTGCAGGGAAAGGCACGTAAAATTCTTTTGGTCACATTATCTGCAGTAAGCTGAGGCTCTTTTAGAATCAATCTGCTAAACTGACATAAAATAACCTACGCCACTGTCTTTGTTTTTGCTTGTCTGTAGCTATCCTCAGAGGTCATAGCTCAAACGCTTCTCAGAATTTGAAAGGTACATAGAAATAACATAATGAACTATATATACTTTACACTCTGTAAAGAATTTTCCCTCTACAAATCACAGATATATTTACATATGAAATGATAACTAGAGGACCTTTCTACCTCTCTTTACTGAACCTAATAATATTTTACATGAGATACTTTCTCCAGGTTTCCCAAATGTTCGCTACCCCTTTAAAATTACAGTGAAGGCAAATGAGAAATGGAAACGTCAAGCAAAATTGCTCTGTTTAGCTTTCATTAGGGATTAATCGTCAGCTGTGATTGCCTTGGGTGCTAAGGCATAAAAATTCCAGGACTTTGTCCTTGAAGGGAAGTCATTTTTCTTCCTCAAAACCTAAATGCATATTTTCCCTTCCAGCAAGGTTCAGACACAAGGTTATCCCAGTGGAGGATCGATGCTCAAGGTATCCATCCCTCTACAAACAAAGACACCCTTCTGTACCATTGGTCATTGTTTCTGAAATACATTTCCGGACAGTTGGTGGAGTAGATTGTAAGAGCAGATTGACAAAAAGAATGTAGAATTTTACACCACATGCCAACTCTAACGGGAATGTTTGACAAGCAAAGAAATCGGTACCAAGTTAAATAACTTTACATATATGTAAATTGGCTGGAAATGTGCCTGTCAGCCGTCACTTTCTGTACCAGAGGCCTGAATGCTGAAAGGTACTCAGAGCCGTAGACAAGACCAGGCGCCACAAAACAAATCCACTTTTTCCACAGCAACCAGTACGCACAATCCCCAAGAACCCGGGCTGTGCCAACCTCCACTGCTCCCTGGTCAGACTGCAGGCACTCTTCACCAGTGACTTGTTCATGGGTTTATACTCTGGTCATATATGCAAGCACATAGATATGGCACCTGCCACGAGATGCTTTGGCTTCAGAAGGAAGGGGATGCTCAGGATATCACCGGAACTTACCTTCCACAGGTTCATTCTTCACACGTCCCTCTTTCTCGCCAGGTGAAACTACTCACCTGCCCTCTCACCTATTGGCTCCAGGCTGCCCACACTCGACCTGACATCCTGCGCCAGGGAGCATGTTAGGGGCGCCTCGTGGTGTTGAATCAGGCTCATCGTTCCATCCGGTTACCCACGCCTGTCCTGTCTTCCTGACTCTCCTGAATTCTGCCTGCTCTCCCGCCCAGCAGTTGCCTGTGGGCTCCTTAATTCTGCTGCCACCAAACTGTGAGCACCTGTCGTCTGCAAAACTCTCTTGCTCTCCCTCTTGGCATGTTCACAGTCCTTTCCTGTGGCATGGGTTGAGTTTTCTGGAAGCTGATGTGTGATGGAGTTTGGGCTGCAAGATGTTTATTGAGATCAACACCTGTGAAAGGAAAGGGAGGAATTAGGATTGGGCCGAAGGGTAAGTCATGCGGGCCTAACACACTCCACCAAGATGGTTAGGAGCTCTGGAAGGAATATTGACCCTTAAAGTCATCCCGTATTGAGGCAAAATGGCTGGGCCGTTATGCACCTGCCTGGAAGATGCAGACATTGGATGTGAGCTTCCCCAAAGAAGGGTTGGATCCTGGGCAAGGCAGTGTCTCGGCTGAGGGAGCCCTGGAGACGTTCACACATGGAGACTGTCTTCTGACCCCACTCCCTGTGGCTGGGCAGCAAATCCTTCCTCAAGGTGGGTCTGGGTGGCATATCTTCACATCTGGGACATCTGTCGCCTTCAGTGCAGACCCCTCCTGGCCTTGACCTCACAAACCTGCCTGCCCAGGGCTCCGACCCATCTGTTCTTTGTCTGCAGACTCTCTTTGGCTTCTAGCACAGAAGCTTTGTCTTACAGTTCAATCCTTAGAACTTAGGATTGTCATATTATCACCTGGAGACATGTTCAGAGATGCCCTTTGTGGCCATGGAGACTGGAAAGCTCTGTTGTCAATTCCAGTGCCGCTTGATGTGGTCCCTCCCCAGCCCAAGCCTCACCCCATTCCCTCACTCCCCTGCCCAGTCCTGCCTTCACCAAGGGTCTGGCTGCTTGTTGGTATTCCCAAAGAACTCCCAGTGAAGAAAAGGAGATTAGAGGAGAGAGGTTGTTCCCATGCCAAGATGGACTCACGCACACGTACAGCCTCAACCCCAAGGCGGACACATTGTGGGGCAAACAGTAAAAGAGAGAATTTGGTTCTATGTGCCAATATCTGCAAGACAGTTTCAACTCCTTGCAAGTGATGCTAAAAGAGATCGTCTTACCTGGGAGATTTAGGGGCCTGTGGTTTATTAAAAGCGTTCGAGGCTGTGGAAAATCATTTGAGCAGCCAGTTTCCTGAGTGTTCAGTAAATCCTGATTTTACTCCAATACCATTCTTATTTCTCAGCCCAAAATCTCACCCCGTCTCTTGGAGTCTTTGGCCTGGGAGTCATTTCTTTAACCCCCAGCCAGCCTTTCTCCTTCCCTGTCAGATTGCTGGCCTCTCGTTTCACCATGACTTTGATTATTCCTGCCTTTTGTAGAGGCAATTTTCTCAGCTTCAATTTTCCTTGCCTTTCAGAAAACAAACAGGAAACAAACTAAAAAAAACCCAAAAAACAGGGGCTTCCCTGGTGGCGCAGTGGTTGAGAGTCTGCCTGCCAATGCAGGAGACGCGGGTTCGTGCCCTGGTCCAGGAAGATCCCACATGCCGCGGAGCGGCTGGGCCTGTGAGCCATGGCCCCTGAGCCTGTGCATCCGGAGCCTGTGCTCCGCAACCGGAGAGGCCACAACAGTGAGAGGCCCGTGTACCGCAAAAAAAAAAAACAAAAAAAAAACACCTCCACCTGAGAGCCTTCTCTGATTAACGTCTCCTAATTCTGATTATGAGTTTACTCTGCATATTTCCAGGATTAGGTTTATATTAAAACCAAATGGCATTGTATAAAATTTCAAAGCATTACCCAAGGTATTATTTTTATTGCATCAGTTCCTTTCTTAAATCAATTAACCAGCAAATAAGGCCAGGGAACGTTTTAGTGCCATTAATGACACTTTAAGTGGTTGTTCTTTGCTTTTTGTAAGTTAGATTTGTTGTAATAAGATTTGATCTGGTGGGTATTTGCATGTGGTTATTTGCTGAACATTTGCGATTGTTCATAGCATGGAATCTGTACGAAATTGGTCTGTTTCAGTCACAATCAAAAGACCCCATCATGGTGTGACAAGATTTCCTGTAACCCTAAATGGGTTGTTTTAAAATGTTATCCCTCATTAGGGACCCTTAGGGCAAAACGGTGCCAGTGTGTTTGAAATATTTGTCCCTCATCTGTGTACGGCCTTCTCAACCATATAGCAAGTACCTCGAGGCAATGGCCATGCTTTCCATAGACACTTAGGAGTATCAATGAGCTTTCCCTGGACATCTACGGCACGCCAAGCCCTGTGCCAGGGGCTTGTGTGAACTAATTTAATCCTTTCAGTGACCCTCGGAGAAAACTAAAATGAATGAGGTTTGGAAATCTGTCCAAGGTCCACAGGTGATGAGACAGGACAGATATCTGGATCTAGGTTTTCTTACAAATCCCTACTCCTTTTTCTCCCAGCACTTTGTTACTGCCCACAGTAGGGTTTGCACAGGTCTCTGAAACACAACAACTCAAAGTTGTCTAGCCACACACACACACCCCCCGCCATCCCCCAAGAAGTTGGGACTTAAAGAAGTTTGGGGAAAGAAACAAGATCGTGCTCTCCTGAAGAACCAGTAATTAAGGGCTGGTTCTTAATTACTGAGTAATTAAGAACCAGTAATTAAAGGCTGAGGAAGAGGGCTGGGTCGAGAACGGGTATTTTGCAACACGTTGTTGCTTTTCTCTGCATTGTCCGTTGACGTTTTCCTGGTCTCTTCCTGCCACACAAATGTCAGGTCACGCTGGATAAAATCAAAGAACCGTGTCAGAAACACCACTCAGTCTGCCTGGGTCTCGGATTAGAGCGTGCAGGAAATCCCCAGGGACGTGTCTCAGGTGAACCCGGCAAGGAATCGGCACATTGCCTTCCAAAACGCGTTCGATTAGTAGATGGACATTTGCCTACCGTGACTATGGCTGAGAAGGACAGGCGTTGATTCACCAGGTTACCTCCGTGGGATCTGCTGTATTTAGGGCCAGGCCACAACCCTGGTCTGGTTTTTAGTCAGGTTTCCTCTGACTAAAAAATTCTAAGTAGAATAAGAATAAAGCATGCCTTCTTCACCCCCCCCCCCCGACGTCTGATGGAATGAAAACTCAGATTGTGGATAAAAATCCAGCTCCTGCCTAATGCATTTTCCTCTCGGAGGAGCTGTGTAGCTTAGCAGCCCTGCCACTACATAGGCAAAAATGCAGAGTTTGTCTCTTTTGTCAGTCTGGAGATAAAATCCTATTCTTTGTAATCCCTGAAGAAACAAATCAAATAAACTCGGGCTGAGCTAACCATTTTCAATCCATCAAAGCAATCAAATTCTGTTTACCTGAATCACAATGATTTCTAAAATGTTATTAAAAAGTAAAATGGAGTTTAACTATTCCAAAAAACCGAAAATGATGTGCAAACACAAAAGGGATAAGATTTCTGTAATTATGTAGACATAAAGTCGGGGCCATCATTTGAGCCACAATACACTGTAGCTGTGGCATGTAAAGATAAAGAGCCCTTCGTCTACCACGGCTGCTGCTACTGATGCATAAACAGAATAACGTAAGAAGTCTTCAAAGAGGTGACTATTCATTTAGTTACTTTTTTTGCTCTTTAGGGCAAACAATGGTTTTATAATTTAATAAACCAATTAACTGATTATGTCTCGCCCAAAATATCTGTATATCGCCCCTTCTATTATCTCAAAAATCCTCATCCCATTTCTTAGCCAGAGAGTGGTATTGTAAATGTGACTAATTAGTGTCTTTGGCAAATGATTTGCTGGCAGGTTATCTTGCAGCAAATTCTTTGGGAATTTTTGTCTCCATGTGCTTTCACAAACATTCCCAACAACAACAGAAAGCCCTTTTTCGGCGTCATTAGACGTTCAGATACCACAGTATTAGGGCTGTTTAGAGGCACTTGGAAAGAAAGAATGATGTGGCCCCGCTTCTTTATCATAATTCTTCCACTCTTCTGTAGGGGGAACGATGCAGTCCTTCGGCGGCGTGGCAGGTGTTATCACCCCCTCCAAATTGCTTCTTCTGTTCAGACAGGAGTCGTTCCGTGGGCTTCAGGTAACTATCACTGGCTGCATTATAAGGGCGGTGCTCACCACACTGCAGCTAATGGATCTGGCAGCACTTCCATCATAACCCTCTATTATCAGGTCGAGAAAAGCCGGCTGGGAACAAAATGCATCCAGGAATAAAATTTGACATCCTTGCAAATGGCAGAAAGTTTCAACCTAGGCACATTCTTTCAGCACTTTGAAATGTGAAATTGTCATGACACGTTTTCAGGAGAAGAAATATACATCAATAAAGGCAGAGAAATAGAGTCATTTAAGAGGATTTGCTGGAACCCTCAGTAAACAATGTTTTTATGATGGGTACAAACGTTGCTCTGGGCTCTAGCTCCCCAAAGCCACTGACTGTCTCCAGCAGGGATGTGACTTACAAGTGTTGCATAATTAACCCTATTCTGACCTGCAGCCCTCGGCTCCCACACTTTCAGCAAAGTATCCATTCATTCATTCACTCCTTTGTAGAACCAAAAATTCAGAGCCTCCAATCCATCCACCACAAGCTAGAAATGGTCCCTGCCCTCGGGGAGCGTATCGTCTAGGAAGAATAAGGGCAAATGCAATAAAAATGGGCTGGGTGCAATGAGAGGGGAGGACCATGTCTTGTAAGACCCCATCAGAGGCACTGAACTCAGATGAAGAGGATCAGGGAAGCTGCTTTCTGCAGGAGATGATGCATAAGCTCCCGCGTTACTGAGAGAACAGGAGCTGAAAGTTGAAGAGAAGACCTTGCTTGAAGGTGCAGTGGCGAGAGAAAATGCCCACCCCAGGCCCTAGGAGCCCTTAAGGATGGTAGGATCCTGGACCATAAGGGCCAAGAGCTGGAAGAGGAAGTTAGAGGGCGGACGGGCTGGACAGTGTGCAGGGCTTGAAGCCATAAGAAGGAGTTTGAACTTCATCCTGGGACGAACGTGGAGACAGAGAAGGTTTTGATCAGAGGAGTCACGTGATCAGATTTACATTCTGCAAGGACATATAACACTTCCCACAAAGCCCTCTCTACTATACCAACAAAAAATTTTTTAGGTCCTAATGGATTTATGGTTCATACGGTTACTGCAGCCCCATGATTGATGATTTATTTTCCCTGAGAAAAATAAAACTGAACCGTTTGTACAGTTCTTGCCAAAGCAGCAGTGGGGCA